CTTGATAGCATATATAGAGCCATACCTAAGAAAGCTCTTCTCTCAGGCTATGAAACTTTCCTGCTAAATAACATAGACTCTTCTTGAATGAAATCAAAAAGGAACCTCACTTGCTATCACTGAGGGACATAAGTCAGATAGTAATGTCGCTCTGTGCATTATGGCAAGGTCTCCAACCTGACAACTGTCCTTATGCCATAGGGAAAAATAAAAGGCAGTGCATGAGGTGCATATCAAATTGCTGCTATTTTCCAGAAACATATATCCTAGGCTGAGTCACTTTGAAAAGCAAGTAGTTGCTCTCTAGGAATGTGCATTTTTATGTGCACACATATCTGCTTTTAATCTTATAACACTGCTCATCTAATTAAATTTTGTATCAGGGTAATAGAGATGTCCTCATGAAGATAAAAAAAAAACAAAACCTAACAATGTATACCATATCTGTCTCACTTGAGGTTTCTAAGAATTCCAGCACAATGTTGTGATTCACTTTATGTCTACAAAAAGTTTTTTTTTAATGTTTATTTATTTTTGAGAAAGAAAGCATGAGTGGGGGAGATGCAGAGAGATTGGGGGACAGAGGATCCAAAGAAGGCTCCGTGCTGATAGCAGAGAACCCGATATGGGCTTGAGCCCACAAACTGTGAGATCATGACCTGAGCTGAAATTTATATTGGAATCAGTCTTGCCACTAGTAATTTTGCACTGACCTCAAGCTACATTGGACTTGAAGTTATTTCCTTGCCTGGTTATATTTTAAATATTTTAAAAGTTAAAATTATTTCTGGGATGCCTGCGTGGCTCATTTGGTTAAGTGTGTAACTGTTGATCTCAGTTCAGGTCATGATCTCACGATTTGTGGGGTCAAGCCCCACATCAGGTTCTCTGCTGACAGCATGGAGACTTCTTGGGATTCTCTCTCTCTCTCTCTCTCTCTCTCTCTCTCTCTCTCTGACCCTCCCTATCTCTCTCACTGTCTCAAAACAAATGAACTTTAAAAATGAAAATTATTTCATGGTAGGAATCTCACAAAGAATAGAATGCTATAATTTTTTTTTTTGTCAGAGTCGTTGTATATTCTACTCACTTCAAAGTATTGGTCTCCCAGTAAATGATGCTCTTCTGATGAGTGTAGCATTAGAGTATTGATTAACCGTGGTAACTGAGTGTCATGATGAAGAAACCATGTTCTTTTGAAGAAATGAGACTATGATATACTAACAACTTGGGCCTTTGGTTGGACCCCCATGTTTTTGTTTTATTTTATTTTAAAAGTTAGCAGTCTTTATTTTTAAAGCAGTTTTTGTATTTACAGAAAATTGAACAAACAGTGCAAAGAATTCCCATATACTCCTTCTCTCCCCTCTCAGGCTTTGCCTTATTAATATCTTGCATTATTGAAGTACATTTGTTACAAATGGTGAACCAATCATGATGCACTATTAGCTGAAGTCCAGAATGTCCATAGGATTCATTTTTTTTTGTGTTGTCCAGTTCTATGGGTTTGACAAATGCATAATATCTACCAGTACAGTAGTATACAAAATAGTTTCACTGATCTAAAAATCTTCTGTGTGCCAACTGTTCATTTCTATTCTCCTTAAAACCTTTTGTAACTACGGATCTCTTTACCATCTCTAGTTTTACCTCTTCCTGAATGTTATATAGTTGGAATGACAAAATATGTATCATTTTTACTATTTGTTATTAAGCAATATGCATTTAAGTTTCTTCCCTGTGTTTTATAGCTTTAATAGATTTATTTTTATTGCTGAATAATATTCTATTATAGGAATGCAACACAGTTTGTTTATCCATTTCCCCTTTTGAAGGACATCTTGATTTCTTACAGTTTTTGGAAACTGTGAATAAAACTGCTGTAAAGACTCATGGGCAGGTTTTTGTGTGGATAAAATTTTCAACTCATTTAGAGAAAAACCTAGGAGCATAATTGATGGATTATACTGTAAGCCTATCTTTCACTCTATAAGTGACTGCCAAACTATCATCCAAATGCTTTTTCCATTTTGTATCCCCAACATCAGGGGGGGAGAGTTTTTGCTACTCTACATCCTTGTCAGTTTTGCGTTATCAGATTTTATTTTGATTTAGCCATTTAGAATAGTTTATAATGGTATCTCCTTGTTTTTTTTTTTTTTTAATTTGCAATTCCCTAGTGACATAGGATGTTGAACATCTTTTAATATTATTTGCCATCTGTATACATTCTTTGGTGACATGCCTGTTCAGATCCTATGCTCATTTTTTAAAAATTGAATTGTTTTCTTATTGCTCAATTTTAAGATTTCTTTGTATATTTCAGATACAAGTTTGTTATCACATATATGTTTTGCAAATATTTTCTCTCACTCTCTGGCTTGTCTTTCACTCTCTAAACCATGTGTTTTTTTTTGTAATTTAGAAGTTCTAATTTTATTGAAGTGTAACTTATCAATTATTTTATTCATTGATTATGTTTTAGGTGTTATATCTAAAAGGTCACTGCCAAACCTAAGGTTACCTAGATTTTTTTCCTAAAAATAATGTTTTTTTTTGTTTGTTTTACACTTAGCTCTATGATCCATTTCGAGTTAATTTTTGTGAAGGGTGTAAGGTCTGTATCTAGATTCATTTTCTTTGGATGAGGATGAAAAGTTGTTCCAGCACTGTTTCTTAAACAGACCATACTTCCTCCATTGAATTGTCTTTGCTTCTTTGGCAAAGATTGGTTGACTATATTTGTGGGTTTATTTCTGGGCTCTCTATTCTGTTTCATTGTTCTATTTTTTTCTATTTTTTTTTAATTTTTCACATTATCTTGATTACTATAGATTTATAGTAAACCTTAAAATCAGGTAGAGTCAATTCTCTAACTTTGTTCTTCTTCCATGTTACATTAACAATTTCAGGTCTTTTGTCTTTTTCACATGAACTTTAGAATTAGTTTGACAATAGTGACAAATTATTTGGTGGAATTTTGAGTAGAATTGCACTGCATTTATAGATTTGGAAAAAGCTGACAGCTTGAAAATTGTGAGTTTTCTTATCTATGAACATGGAATATCTCTCCATTTACTTAGTTCTTGATTTCTTTCATCAGAGTTTTGTACTTTTCCTTATATAGATCTTGTACATATTTTGTTACATTTATACTTTAGTATTTCAGTTTGAGGCAGGGATGTTAATGTAAGTGGTAAAGTGCTTTTAATTTCAGATCCCATTTGTTTATTGCTGGAATATGGGACATTGATGGACTTTTATACATTAACTTTGTATCCTGCAACATTACTATAATTTCAAAGTAGTTCCTGGAGTTTTTTTGTCTTTTTTTTTTTTTTTTTTTTTTTCAGATTTTCTACATAGACAACCATGTCATATGTGAAAGCGGATCATTTTATTTATTCCTTTTCAAATTGTATGCTCTTCTTTTCTCTTTCTTTCTTTCTCTTCTCTCTCTCTCTCTCTCTCTCTCTCTCTCTCTCTCTCTTTTGTCATATTGCTTTAGCTAGGATATCCAGTACAATGTTGAAAAAGAGTGTGAGAGGGTACATCATTGCCTTATTCCCAATCTAAGGTGAAAGTATCTAGTTTCTCAACACTAGGTATGTTCTTAGTTGTAGATTTTTTTGTAAGTGTGCTTTATAATTTTAAAGAAGTTCCCCTCAGGGGGTGCCTGGGTGGCTCAGTCGGTTGAGCATCCGACTTCGGCTCAGGTCATGATCTCGTGGTCCGTGAGTTCGAGCCCCACGTCGGGCTCTGTGCTGACTGCTCAGAGCCTGGAGCCTGTTTCAGATTCTGTGTCTCCCTCTCTCTCTGACCCTCCCCCGTTCATGCTCTGTCTCTCTCTGTCTCAAAAATAAATAAACGTTAAAAAAAAATTAAAAAAAAAAAAGTTCCCCTCTATGTCTAGTTTGCTAAGAGTTCTTATTATGAATTGGTGTTTGATTTTGTCAAATGTTTTTTCTGCATTTAACAATATAATCCTATGATTTTTTTTCTGTAATCTATTGATATAATGGATTGAATTCATTGATTTCCATATGTTGAACAAGACTTGTATACTTGAGACAAATCTCACTTGGCCATGGTGTATAAGTATTTTTATACATTGTATTTGATATGCTATACTTTCATTAGGTATTTTTGCACCTATATTCATGAGAGATATTAGATTTTCTATCCGTAGATTTTAGGGTAATATGGGCCTCATAGAATGGGTTAGGAAATATTACTTCTGCTTCTACTCTCTGCAGGAGATTATGGAGAATTGGTTGCATTTTTTTTCCTAAATGTTTTAAAGAATTCACCAGTGAACCAGTCTGGGCCTAGTACTTTCTGTTTTCGAAGCTCATTAGTTATTGATTAATGTGGTCCTATTCAAATTGTCTATTTCTCTTTGTGTGAGTTTTGATAGATTGTATTTTTCATGAAATTGGTCCATTTTGTCTAGCTTAGCAAATTTAAGGGCATAGTGTTTTTCATAATATCCTTTTATTATCTAAGATAAGTAATGGTGAATCCTCTTCTGCTATGATAATTTGTCTTGTTTTTCTTTCTTGGTTAGATGCTCATTTTATCTTCTGGCTTTTTTTTTTTTTTTTTTTTTTTTTTTTTAGCACAGTTATGTACTTTTCTCCATTCTTGAGAGAAAGGACAGTCATACACGTTGTGGAAGAGTATTGATTTTGCCTTTGTTAGTGAACATTGTGAACAATAAATGGGAAGGAACCTTAGTATTGTTATCAAACCCAAGTATGCACTGTATAAAAGTGAGAATACTATTAGCTCCCAGGTTATAGATGAGTCTACTCTGTACCCAAAACAACAAATGGGTTGTTATGTCCTTTCTTTTAAATTCCAACAACTACCTAAATTGGAGATTAAGCTTATTTTACAGAGAAAACTCATACTCAGATAATATTATCAATGCATAACCAAATGATATTTCCTAAATTATAAAGGAAAAAGAGTAACAAGGCAAGATTCTGAATCCATACCTTTCAGACCTCAAAAGTATACTCTTTCAACCCTTCTTTGTTTCTTGAGATGATTCAACTTCTACTGTCCTGAGCTCTGAGTACTGAGGAGGAAAAAAAGTAAAATGATCCCTGTCTTTTAGCATAATATAAAACAAATGACATATTTTATATTGTGAAAAATATTGTTACTTACCTACCTATTAAATTGTTTTAATCTTTAAGGCTACTCCAAAGGCAAAAAATTTGGTGAAAAAAAATCAGTAAATTATGGATACATTTACAAAGCTTATTTGAAAGTATAAATCATTATTACTAAAGCTGACATATGTTATAAAGAAATCAATAAACAAATACGTTTGATATATTTGATAAAATATATTATTGATATGTCTAGAATCCTTTCTAGATATGTGCTATTTCGTGTCATTAGTGAAGCTAGTGATTATAAATTAGTCACAGAGAGGGGGACCAGGTGTCTCAAGGTCATTGATTTTACTGATATGTTGATTATTATTATTATTACTATTACTATTATTATTTTGGTTTATGACAGCTACAGAATTAGTGACTATTAGGTACATCCTTTTAAATCACTCCTAGACACACAGTCCATTCAGTAGATATAGGTTTGGGGTGTCTTTTTATCAAAAATCTCTTAGATAAATTTGAAGAAGGGACAAATTAAAGGCCACAGAATACATGTTTAGCACAAAGAGTATGGCTTCAAAAAATATTTCTGATAATAAAAAATGATTATGATTACTTTTCATACATGTGTATCTTTGCAAAAATTAACAGTGGCTTACCTAAGTTCTTTATCAATTTTATTAATTTTCTTCCTCTAGATGTATGGGAAATAGGGGAATCAAAGGCCTTAGGCCTAAGGTCTAAGACAATATCAGATATCGAATAAATATTTTATTCAAAGCCATTCTCCAGGACCATACTTGTCAAAAAAAAACCCCAAGAGAAGGTTAACAGAAATTGGCAGTATATGTTGGGAGAAAGGTAGAGAGAACCAGAACAAAGAGAGCAGGAAGAAATGGGAATTAAAAATGAACAAACAAGACAGCCTCAGAAGGTGTGCCTCCTTTCTCGAGGAGTCAAATCTACCATCTGATTCTTTTTTTTTTTTTTTTATATGAAATTTATTGTCAAATTGGTTTCCATACAACACCCAGTGCTCATCCCAAAAGGTGCCCTCCTCAATACCCATCACCCACCCTCTCCTCCCTCCCACCCCCCATCAACCCTCAGTTTGCTCTCAGTTCTCAACAGTCTCTTATGCTTTGACTGTCTCCCACTCTAACCTCTTTTTTTTTTTTTTCCTTCCCCTCCCCCATGGGTTCCTGTCAAGTTTCTCAGGATCCACATAAGAGTGAAACCATATGGTATCTGTCTTTCTCTGTATGGCTTATTTCACTTAGCATCACACTCTCCAGTTCCATCCACGTTGCTACAAAAGGCCATATTTCATTTTTTCTCATTGCCACGTAGTATTCCATAGTGTATATAAACCACAATTTCTTTATCCATTCATCAGTTGATGGACATTTAGGCTCTTTCCATAATTTGGCTATTGTTGAGAGTGCTGCTATGAACATTGGGGTACAAGTGCCCCTATGCATCAGCACTCCTGTGTCCCTTGGATAAATTCCTAGCAGTGCTATTGCTGGGTCATAGGGTAGGTCTATTTTTAATTTTCTGAGGAACCTCCACACTGCTTTCCAGAGCGGCTGCACCAATTTGCATTCCCACCAACAGTGCAAGAGGGTTCCCGTTTCTCCACATCCTCTCCAGCATCTATAGTCTCCTGATTTGTTCATTTTGGCCACTCTGACTGGCGTGAGGTGATATCTGAGTGTGGTTTTGATTTGTATTTCCCTGATAAGGAGCGACGCTGAACATCTTTTCATGTGCCTGTTGGCCATCCGGATGTCTTCTTTAGAGAAGTGTCTATTCATGTTTTCTGCCCATTTCTTCACTGGGTTATTTGCTTTTCGGGTGTGGAGTTTGGTGAGCTCTTTATAGATTTTGGATACTAGCCCTTTGTCCGATATGTCATTTGCAAATATCTTTTCCCATTCCGTTGGTTGCCTTTTAGTTTTGTTGGTTGTTTCCTTTGCTGTGCAGAAGCTTTTTATCTTCATAAGGTCCCAGTAATTCACTTTTGCTTTTAATTCCCTTGCCTTTGGGGATGTGTCGAGTAAGAGATTGCTACGGCTGAGGTCAGAGAGGTCTTTTCCTGCTTTCTCCTCTAGGGTTTTGATGGTTTCCTGTCTCACATTCAGGTCCTTGATCATTTTGAGTTTATTTTTGTGAATGGTGTGAGAAAGTGGTCTAGTTTCAACCTTCTGCATGTTGCTGTCCAGTTCTCCCAGCACCATTTGTTAAAGAGACTGTCTTTTTTCCATTGGATGTTCTTTCCTGCTTTGTCAAAGATGAGTTGGCCATACGTTTGTGGGTCTAGTTCTGGGGTTTCTATTCTATTCCATTGGTCTATGTGTCTGTTTTTGTGCCAATACCATGCTGTCTTGATGATGACAGCTTTGTAGTAGAGGCTAAAGTCCGGGATTGTGATGCCTCCTGCTTTGGTCTTCTTCTTCAAAATTACTTTGGCTATTCGGGGCCTTTTGTGGTTCCATATGAATTTTAGGATTGCTTGTTCTAGTTTCGAGAAGAATGCTGGTGCAATTTTGATTGGGATTGCATTGAATGTGTAGATAGCTTTGGGTAGTATTGACATTTTGACAATATTTATTCTTCCAATCCATGAGCAGGGAATGTCTTTCCATTTCTTTAAATCTTCTTCAATTACCTTCATAAGCTTTCTATAGTTTTCAGCATACAGATCCTTTACATCTTTGGTTAGATTTATTCCTAGGTATTTTATGCTTCTTGGTGCAATTGTGAATGGGATCAGTTTCCTTATTTGTCTTTCTGTTACTTCATTGTTAGTGTCTAAGAATGCAACTGATTTCTGTACATTGGTTTTGTATCCTGCAATTTTGCTGAATTCATGGATCAGTTCTAGCAGACTTTTGGTGGAGTCTGTCGGATTTTCCATGTATAATATCATGTCATCTGCAAAAAGCGAAAGCTTGACTTCATCTTTGCCAATTTTGATGCCTTTGATTTCCTGTTGTTGTCTGATTGCTGATGCTAGAACTTCCAGCACTATGTTAAACAACAGTGGTGAGAGTGGGCATCCCTGTCGTGTTCCTGATCTCAGGGAAAAAGCTCTCAGTTTTTCCCCGTTGAGGATGATGTTAGCTGTGGGCTTTTCATAAATGGCTTTTATGATCTTTAAGTATGTTCCTTCTATCCCGACTTTCTCAAGGGTTTTTATTAAGAAAGGGTGCTGGATTTTGTCAAAGGCCTTTTCTGCATCGATTGACAGGATCATATGGTTTTTCTCTTTTTTTTTGTTAATCTGATGTATCACGTTGATTGATTTGCGAATGTTGAACCAGCCCTGCATCCCAGGAATGAATCCCACTTGATCATGGTGAACAATTCTTTTTATATGCCATTGAATTCGATTTGCTAGTATCTTATTGAGAATTTTGGCATCCATATTCATCAGGGATATTGGCCTGTAGTTCTCTTTTTTGACTGGGTCTCTGTCTGGTTTAGGAATCAAAGTAATACTGGCTTCATAGAATGAGTCTGGAAGTTTTCCTTCCCTTTCTATTTCTTGGAATAGCTTGAGAAGGATAGGTATTATCTCTGCTTTCAATGTCTGGTAGAACTCCCCTGGGAAGCCATCTGGTCCTGGACTCTTATTTGTTGGGAGATTTTTGATAACCGATTCAATTTCTTCGCTGGTTATGGGTCTGTTCAAGCTTTCTATTTCCTCCTGATTGAGTTTTGGAAGAGTGTGGGTGTTCAGGAATTTGTCCATTTCTTCCAGGTTGTCCAATTTGTTGGCATATAATTTTTCATAGTATTCCCTGATAATTGTTTGTATCTCTGAGGGATTGGTTGTAATCATTCCATTTTCATTCATGATTTTATCTATTTGGGTCATCTCCCGTTTCTTTTTGAGAAGCCTGGCTAGAGGTTTGTCAATTTTGTTTATTTTTTCAAAAAACCAACTCTTGGTTTCGTTGATCTGCTCTACAGTTTTTTTAGATTCTATATTGTTTATTTCTGCTCTGATCTTTATTATTTCTCTTCTTCTGCTGGGTTTAGGCTGCCTTTGCTGTTCTGCTTCTATTTCCTTTAGGTGTGCTGTTAGATTTTGTATTTGGGATTTTTCTTGTTTCTTGAGATAGGCCTGAATTGCAATGTATTTTCCTCTCAGGACTGCCTTCGCTGCATCCCAAAGCGTTTGGATTGTTGTATTTTCATTTTCGTTTGTTTCCATATATTTTTAAATTTCTTCTCGAATTGCCTGGTTGACCCACTCATTCGTTAGTAGGGTGTTCTGTAACCTCCATGCTTTTGGAGGTTTTCCAGACTTTTTTCTGTGGTTGATTTCAAGCTTCATAGCATTGTGGTCTGAAAGTATGCATGGTATGATTTCAATTCTTGTATACTTATGAAGGGCTGTTTTGTGACCCAGTATATGATCTATCTTGGAGAATGTTCCATGTGCACTCGAGAAGAAAGTATATTCTGTTGCTTTGGGATGCAGAGTTCTAAATATATCTGTCAAGTCCATCTGTTCCAATGTCTCATTCAGGGCCCTTGTTTCTTTATTGACCGTGTGTCTAGATGATCTATCCATTTCTGTAAGTGGGGTGTTAAAGTCCCCTGCAATTACCACATTCTTATCAATAAGGTTGCTTGTGTTTATGAGTAATTGTTTTATATATTTGGGCGCTCCGGTATTCGGCGCATAGACATTTATAATTGTTAGCTCTTCCTGATGGATAGACCCTGTCACTATTATATAATGTCCTTCTTCATCTCTTGTGACAGCCTTTAATTTAAAGTCTAGTTTGTCTGATATAAGTATGGCTACTCCAGCTTTCTTTTGGCTTCCAGTAGCATGATAAATAGTTCTCCATCCCCTCACTCTCAATCTAAAGGTGTCCTCAGGTCTAAAATGAGTCTCTTGTAGACAGCAAATAGATGGGTCTTGTTTTTTTATCCA